CTCACAATGGCACCCCATGTGCAAATCTTGAACTGAATGCATTACGTTATGCACAAAAATGTCCAACCATTTCTGCACAAGTGTAAGACAGCAGCAAGATTCTGGCCATGAAGGAAAACTTCACTCCTTCTCTGGTGTAACTGGAATGCATTTTGTGACTTTTACTGTTATAGGGAATGTTTGGTTTCATTTGTTGGTTGTGTTTATAACCACAGGCTTCCAGCATTCTGATTTTTTATCCTCCAACTGTCCCAATGAATCCTCTGTTCTCCCACTTTTTCAGCTCCTTTTAAAATGTCCCAGTTTCACTCTGCTCCTGCCACTTCCCCCTTTGTCCTCAACTTACTTCCACTGGTGCAAACTGAGTTCAAAGTGCAAAAGTCATTTGCACTCGATTAACTTGGAAATGGGGAAAAAACAGGAGTGGTGAGCCTTGCCCTTCTGAGGAGGCTCAGGCAAGAGCAAACTGCTGCAGCCTCCCTTAGTTTGTGCGTTCTTCCCCTCTTTTGCCATTTTGACCACACTCTGATGTTGCATGGGTCTATTTGTCCCAGTTTTCATCTGTGAAATGTTGGAGAGTATGAAAATAACAAACTCTAAAATTCTAAAATTAAAAATTAAAAAAAAATAACCATAAATTCTAGAAAGTGAGGTGGAAGCTGCAGTAAGGGAAAGTGAGAAGAATAAATCACCAGGAACAGATGATATTCCAACTGAACTGCTACAATTCACATATACAGAGTCAACTCTAGTGTCAACTAAAATATGCCAACAAATATAGAAAATGAAATACTGACCAAAACAAACTGGAAATGTTCAATATACATTCCTATCCACAAAAAAGGAGACTCAAAAGACTGCAGCAACTATATGACTATAGCATTAAATTCCCATGCAAGCAAAATTATGGTTAAAATTCTGAAACACTGGAGATTATCGCACCACCCTTTCCTCCCACGCTAGACATGGGACGCAAACTTCAATAGGCAGATTTTATCACACATCCCCTTGCCCCAGGCAATAAGCATCCCATACCCAATCTGGGCTTCCCCTGCACTTTGCAAAGAAATGGATTTTCCGGATCGGGTACGGGATGTCTATTGCCTGGGCACAGGGATGTACAATAAAATCCGCCTATTGAAGTTTACATCCCACATCCAGCTCAGAAAGAAAAGGCAGTGCAATAATCTCCACAGAGTCCAATCATATATGGAGAGGGAAACCCAGTAGTGCAAGGAGGGTTCAGGGAAGGTAGAGGCACTAGGGACCACATTGCAAACATATGATGACTAATGGAGTGTACCAAGGAATTGCAAAAGAAAACCAGCATTTCTTTATAGACTACTGCAAAGCCTTTGACTACATCGATCATGAAAAGCTATGGAATGCTCTCATCAAGGCATGGGAGTGCCACTACATTTGATAGTCCTGATGGGAAATTTGTGCTAAGGACAAGAGGCCACTGCCAGAACAGAATAAGGAGAAACAGAATGGTTCTCAATTGGCAAGGGTGTCAGGCAAGGCTGCATATTATCATCCTACTTGTTCAATTTGTATGCAGAAAACATCATATGAAGAACAGACATAGATGTAGAAGGAAGAAGAATGAAGAAAAGAGGAAAGACCAATCTAAGCTATACAGATGACCCATATTACTAGTGGAAAAGTTCATTGACTTGGAACAATTACAAAGGAAGGTCAAGGAAGAAAGTGCAAAGGCAGGCTTGTTGCTGAATATAAAGAAAACAAAAATAACAACCATGGAGGACCTACATAAATTCAATGTAGACACTAAGGAACTCAAAATAGTTAAAGATTTCTCGTACCTTGATCAAACATTGATCAGAATGGAGAGTGCAGTCAAGAAGTAAGAACAAGACTAGAAATGGGAAGGGCGGCAATGAAAGAACTAGACAAGTTCTTAAAGAGAAAAGGTATGTATGCGACTGAGCACTAAGGTTAGAATAATCCAAGCCATGGTATTCCCCATAACTATGTGTGGATGTGAAAGCTGGGCAGTTAAGAAAGTGGATAAAAAGAAAATCAACTCATTGGAGATGTGGTGCTGGAGAAGAGTGCTGAGAATACCATGGAAGGTCAAAAAGACGAACAAATGGATCTTTGAATAGATCAAACCTACCCTGGAAGCCAAGATGTTCAAACTGAAGCTGTTGTACTTTGGCCACATCATGAGAAGGCATATCTCATTAGAAAAGACAATAATGCTTGGAAAGGTGGAAGGCAGGAGAAAAAGAGGATGACCACATACTAGATGGATAGACTCTATTACGAAAGCCATGGGTATGACTTTACAGGACCTAAGCAAAGCAATGGAAGATAGAAAGTCTTGGAGATGTCTCATCTACAGGGTCACCATAAGTCAATGTTGACTCAAGGGCAGTTAGCAACAACAACATGAAAGGAACAACCTGTAGTGTAATGGTTTGAAGGACGGCAATGGTAAACTCCTCTGAAAAAGTATTGTCATGATAGGATCACTATAAGCCAGAGCTAACTTGAACGACAAAAGCAATCCATTACTCTTTTACTTGATGTGGGATAACAAAGAAATCAAGAGCTAATGTTTGAGAGATTGTAAGACTAATGGTAATTAATGTTAAAAAATTGGTCCTCAGAATTGTAGCTGTAAGGTAATTGCTTTCTCTCTGCTCTCACCTGGGAAAGGTGGACAGATGTTATTGGTAACCTCAGAGTTAACAATCCAGCACTTAAGAGAAACCAGTCATGCCAGTTGGACCTGCCCAGATGCCTCCTCCTACACACTTCATAAACAACACCTCAGTGTTGTGAATAACACCATTTTTTACATCAGCATTTCCCAGGAGGGGGTGACAAGGAATATATACATTTCCAGAGAAAATGTCTAACACACTACTTTGAGCAAGGTAATCGTGGGGGCGGTTGCTCTTCAACTCCAAGCTGTCTTGGATGAAACCAATTATCTAGACCCATTTCAAACTGGACAGGATTTGGAGTTGAGACTACCATGGTTGCCTTGGCTGATGGCCTGCGTCTGAGCATAGACAGGGGTAGTGTGACTCTGTTCGTGCTCTTAGACCTCTCAGCGGCTTTTGATACAATAGACCAGGGGCCAGCAACCTATGGTCCCCGGGCCGTTTCCGGCCCAGGTCACCGAACTTACTGGCCCAGGTGGACTCCTGCCACCACCGCCGCAGCGCGTTTTGCTCTCTGTGCAGCCGCGTGCACCGCGGCTGCCATTTTGATTTCCAAAATGGCGGCC